AACCCTCCTCAGTCTCATTTTCCAGCTGTTTCCAACAAGCCCAAGGTGACTTGTTTCCCCTCTCTGGGTTCCAATGCAACGTTCCCAGCAGGATCACTGACTGTATCTCCTCTGTCTGCCCCCAAAATTTCAAATTTTAACCCCCCCCCCAGCTCACCAGGGCCCTGCAAACATCACCTGTGGCTTTGACAGGTGAGGAAACCTCCCTCTAAAACCCGAATTGACGAATTAACTGCACAACTCACCGGACTGGGAGTCTCCTTCATTTTCTGTTCAGCTATTTTAAGGTTTGATTTGTAGGTGTCATTGTCTGGATCCAGCTCCAGAGCCTTTTTGTAGTAAACAACAGCTTCTGTGTGTTTGTTCAGGCTGGACAGGGCCAGGCTGGGGAAGGAAAAGCAAACCAGAGTCAGATAAGCCCTTCCAGCCTGCCTGGAGCTGGAACACCAGGAATTTTGCCGTGGCACTGCAGGGCAGAGCAAAGGGGTGGCAGCCCTGCCAGGAGGTGCTGAGGGGCTTGGAATTCCATCCCAAACCCTGCTGTTACTCACCCCATCCTGCCATAGGCTTTGCTGTAGTTGGGGTCGATGCCTATGGCCCGTTCACAGTCTCTCACTGCCCCTGCATAATTCCCAAGTTTGCTGTAGGCAGCGGCTCTGGAGGGGAGGGAAAAAGGCAAGGAGCACTGAGCAGCTGGAATATGCTGAGGGAAGTTCCCCTGTTTCCTCTCTGCCGTGTAGGAGCCTGGCACAGCCCCAGCACCATCCAGGAGGGCCACCCCGACCCCAACCCCACACTCTGCCCTGGAATTATCTCATGCAAACAAACCCAGGCTCTCATCCCTCCTGGTGACATTCCCAGAGGAGGCTCCAGGGATCACCTGCCAACTCAGAAAAACCTGTTTTTTCCCTTATCCCTCAAGTTTCTCAGACATAACAACTATTTCCATCCACTTCCCCACGTTCCACACAGAGGGAAAACTGCTTTTAAAGCCACCACGTGCTCAGCAAAGCCTCAACCTCCCAACTCTGGGAGGGGCACCTGCCCAGAACCACGTGGCACCAACACTCTCACAGAGCTCAGCTAAAAGCACCAGTTTTCAGCCCAAAACCCACCCCCATGTCATTAAAGTGTCATTAATTCCTGGAGCCAGATGCCCCTGTGCGCCCACAACAAGCACGTAATCGAGTCAAACCCTGACTCAAAGCCTGTCTTATCCAACAGTTATTTTCCCACCAACTTCCAAAACGCTTCTCAGGACTAAAAAATACAAAACTCCACTTCCACACCCAGCTTTGCACACACCAACTTGGGTGATTCTCAGTAATGAGCCTCCAGCTTGCCTCACTTCACTCCTTCATTCCCAACACAGCCTCTCCATCCCACTCAGAGATAACTGCATGGGAGCAGACACTCTTTCTTGGCATCCCTTATCCCCTCAAATGCCTAATAAAGGTCATTTCCACACCCACATCCCAACCAGAGATGCCAGGAGGCACAGGGAAGTGTGTTAGCATGAGCTCAAACCACACAGCGAGCCAGGAACAGAACAAGAAATCCACGAGATCATTAAAAAAAAAAAAAGGGGTTTTGACCCTTGAGGAGTCCTGGATTTAAGTGGTGAAGCCCAGGGGAAGCTGCTCCAGTACCTGTTGCAGAAATACACAGCATTGGCTGGGTTTAATTCGATGGCTTTTCCATAAAAAGACACAGCAGCCTCAAAGTTTTCTGCCTTCATTTGCTCATTTCCTAAAAACACGGTGGGAAAAGGGCTCGTCAGCGAGGGAGAGACAGGGCCAGACCCTGTCCCACACACCAGGGGCTGCCTGGGATGCAAGGAAAGGATAACCCAGCACTTCCAGGCTCCTGTGCCAACCTCCCCACCCTGCTGGAGCACAGAGGAGCAGAAGGGTTGGTCCCATTCCTTTGTCTCCCCATCCCAAGCATTCCCAGGGGCCAGGGAACTGAAGCTCCCTCTCAGTCACCACCAGAGCCTCGTTTCCCCCCAGCTCCAGGGCTGTTACCTTCGGTCTTGAGCCTTTCAGCCTCAGCTACATCATCCTCAGAGGGGGTGACGGGCTCTGAGTTTGTCCTGCTGTGTTCCAGCTCCTTCCAGGGAAAGGGAGAAGCTCAGATAAGGATTCCCACTGAGCTGTCCCACACCTCCCCCTTCCCAGGCACATCCGAGCCCGAAACGCTCCCCTCCCACACAGCAGCAGCCTCCTGGAATTCCAGCAGGACTGGGTGCTTGGGCTGCAGGGAGGGAAGCTCAGCATTTCAGGGCTCTCACTCACCTTCCCTGCAACAGCCTCGAATATTTCAGGGAGAGTCTGGGACACAGCCAGGCCTTGGTCCTCCATGGACACCCCAAAAGCTGTCTCCAGGCACTGGATGGCCACTAGACAGGGAGAGGCAGCTCATTAGCTTTTCCTACCCTACGCACTCACCCCTGTCCCTCAGCAGTGGGATTTCTCTAAAAAAAAACCCCAAATCACACGTTTCCCATAGTTCAGGAAGGATGCCAGAAGCTCAGAGCTGGGCAAAGCTCAGCTCTGGATGTCAGGGCTCCTGCATCGAGTCAATCCCAGCTCCCACCCCCTCAGTGACTCCTTTGGGGGGAGAAAAAAGTTACTCAGGGCTGGGGCTGCACCAGCATTCCCAGAGCTGGGAATGGGGAAGGAGAGATCCACACCTTCCACTTGCTCTGGGAAGCGCTGTGGCCACGCAGAGGTACCAAAACCACCCAACCTGGTGGGTGGGGAGCTGCTCCCAGTGAGAACAGAGCCCAGCTTTACAGGGCTCAGCTCTGCAGGGCTCTCGTGCCACCCTCTACAGCCCAGAGCACCAGGAGCTGCCCCCTCCTGGCACCCAACCCCCAGGAACGTGCCCCCTCCCCACAGAGGTGCCCCTGCTCCTCTCCCTGGGACAAATGCACAAGCCAAAGACTAAATTTTAAGCTCCTTAAGGAGACCTTTTAAGATCTGTGTGCTCTCCTTCCCTCTGAAAGGGCCTGGGTAAATCCTGGGGAGCAGCATTTTGAGGGCAGAACAGGGAAAACCACTCTCCAAGCACAAAGCACTTCCCCACAGCCACAGAAATCCTCATTTTACACTTCCCCAAGAGCCTCCACCTCGTCCCAGACAAACCCTGTAAGTCTCCAGCCCAGGGTCAGGGAGGTTTTTGACCCCAGGTCCATCCCTGCCTCGAGCTAATCTGCTTTTGAAAGAGCTCAGAGAGCAGACAAGGAATCAGCACCCCTGGACACCTCCCCAAGGGACAAATTAACCCCAAATCTCCAGCAGGGTTTGGTGTCAGGAACAGCCCAGCTCAGGCAGGGGCAGAAAACAGGAAAGACATCCACATTTCCCTGAGTTTTGGCCTGACAGCCCCGGGCACGTCCACCCACCTTCCAAACTCTCCTGGGCATCCGGGGACATGTTCCCGTTCTGCAGCTGGTTGTGGAGGAACTGGATGATGGAGAAGGCCAGACGCCTCTGGTCTGCCATGGTGGGAGCTCTGGGGGGCTGGGCTGCACTCCTGGGGACTCCCAAAAACACCTGGAGAGGGAAAAGTCACGGCTGGATAGAGCAGGAGCCAGAGCTTTGCTGCTGCTCCCCCTCAGGGTGAATTTTGTGGGATAAGGGAGTTGTTCAGGGCTGCCTAAAGATTCCAAAAAACTCCATTAAACTCTGCTGCAACCAAGACCCTCCCCTTTAGGAACTTTCCAAGTCTGGATTCACCCACAATCCTGCCCCAAAAGGCTCCTGCCCAGGGAAACACAGCAAAGGTGCTGCAGGGATCTGAGGTACCAAAACCCCAGGACACACAAACCCAGACTTCACCACGAAAAATTCCCACTTTTCTGCTCCCAGAGCACAGGTTGGTTCTGAAACCAAAGCCAAGGGCTGAAGGGCTGCGTCCCTGGGAGCAGAGCTGGGGGTCAGGGCTGGCAGGGAAAGGGAGGGAGGACCCAAAGCAGAGAGACTTCCCCAAAAAAGCACATCCCGGGGCCGGGAATTCCCAGGGATCCCAAGGCAGGTGCTGAAGGACTCGGGATGCAGCTCCTGCTGCCGAGCTCGGCCCCCCCCGAGCCATAACTGGGTTTGTGGCACAGCCAGGGGCGTTTAACTGAGAAATTAAACTGGTTTAATGAGAGTCCGGCACAGCTAAGCCGGGCCCAGCCCACCGGGAGGCACCGGAGCAGCACCGGGCCCGGGGAGGGGGCAGGCACCGAGAGCCCCCAGACCCCGCCGGGCTCTGGTACCCCGGGACACGCTAGTAACCCCCGAACATCCCGGTAATCCCGGTCCCGCTGCCCTCGGTCCCGGTGCCCCCACCAGGACCGGAGAGGGCGATTCCCGGCGGGGGTCCCCGCGCAGTCCCCCCCGGTCCCGGTGCCCCCCGGGACCGGAGCGAGCGGTTCCCCGCAGGGAGCACAGCCCGGCGCCGCCAGCACGGGGGGCGGAGGGGTCCCGGCGCGGGGGAACAGCCCGGTCCCGGTACCTCCCGCCGCCCCGCTCCCGGTTCCCCCGGTACCCCTCGGTCGCGCTCCCGCTGCCGCCGGCGGGCCCGGCGCGAGCGGTTCCCGGCGGGGCGCAGTGCCCGGTGGCAGCAGGGCCGTGTCCTGGTGTGTCCTGGTGTGTCCCGGTGTATCCCGGCCCAACCCCGGTTCCCCCCCCGGTCCCGCTCACCGGACGCCCCGACACTCGCCTGGGCCGGGCGCGCTCACGCACTGCGCACGCGCCGGGCCCGCCGCGCGCACGCGCCGCGCTAACCCCGCCCACGCCCTTATACGGCCGGAAGAGGGCGGGGGCGTAGAGTGGAAGCCCCGCCCCCGTCTCGGCGGTACCATAGAGACGGGGCATTGCCATGGCGACGGGGCGGGGGCGTTGCCATGGGAACGGGCGGGCGGGACCCCGGGGATGCTCCGCGCCCGGTCCCGGCCCCGCTCCGGGCCGGCTCTGAGGGTCGCGGCGGGGATTCTCCGCCTTCCCCCCACGCGGCCCCCGGTGCGGCGCGGGGAAGGCGGGAGCGGCGCGGTCCTCCACGCTCCCACAATGCCCCGCTGTCCCCGCCCGCCTCCCCGCTCGGGGCACATGCTCGGTGCGTGGCGCCGGCCCGGCCTGTTCCCGGCCCCGTCAGCACTCCCGGCACCCCCGGCATGGCCCCCCCCACAGGTACCGGCGGCGGCGGCGCGGGGGGACGTGAGGGCGAGGGCGAGGGGCCGGCGCGGCGCGGGCCGTGGGGGGTGAGGGAAGAGGGATGGGGCGGGAGGAGGGGGCTCGGGTCACCCCCCCGGGGCGGCCGCGGGGTCCTGCTGCCCCCCCCCCGAGTCACCTCCATGCCCCGCGGGCCTTGTCCCCGCGCGGGGCACGGCCGCCGGCCCGTCCCCGGGGCACGGGCACCTGCCGGGGCACGGCCCGGGGAGGTCGGGTTTCCACGAAGGAACGACCCGCCCGCTCCCGGAGCCCATCCCCGCGGGGCTGCTGGGCCCCTCTCCAAGTGCTTCTATCGACCTTCAGCCCCGCAGCCGGTTTTCCCTTCCAGCCCGCGTAAGGGAACGTCTCCCGGCCCTTTTTTCCCCCCCTCCCCAGGGAATGTCGTGGACAGCCAGGCGCCCCGGCTCGTGGCCAACCAGCTGCGCTGGGACCTGACGGCCGAGCAGATCGAGGCCATGGCCGCCGAGCTCACCGAGAGCACCAAGCTCGTGTACGACCGGGTGGGCAGCCAGGAGAGGGGGGAGGTGTCCTACGAGAACACCCTGAAGGCCCTGGCGGACGTGGAGGTGGAATACACAGGTGGGAGCAGCTGGGAAGGGGGAATCGGGGCTTTCTGGAACTCAGGACGAAGGGGGAGTGGGTTCAAACTGCCAGAGGGCAGGGTTAGGTGGGATGTTGGGAAGGGATTCATCCCTGTGAGGGTGGAGAGGGGCTGGAATGGAATTCCCAGAGAAGCTGTGGCTGCCCCATCCGTGGAAGTGTCCAAGGCCAGGTTGGACGGGGCTTGGAGCAACCTGGGATAGTGGAGGATGTCCCTGTCCATGTGCCTGGGTGAGCTTTAAGGTCCCTTCCAACCCAGACTACTCCAGGATTCCGTGATTCCGTGTTACTAAGATATTTTTGGTGTTTTTTAGCTCTGTGCTGTCAACTCCTGCTCTCTCCCCTTGGCTCCCAGCACCGTGTTGGTGTTTTTTCCCAGTTAATGTTTATACGACGAGGTACAAGTACAAAGAACAACATTTAGGAGGGAAGAGCAAATGAAGCCAAGGACACCCCTTTGGCAGCAGGATGAGCAGCACATTCCCAAGGCTGTCCCTGCTTTCATGTGTCAGGGAGCATCAGTGGCAACAAAAGGCAGAAAAGATCTAAGAAATCATCATCTCCTTCCTAATTTTTTCCCTAAGCCAGTGGATAAATGTCTCTCCGTGTGCCTGCTGTAATTTTTGGGAAGGTAACATGTTGTGGTGGCACCCAACTGATGCAGTTTTGGTGTCTGGCTGGCTGGTTATTTACAGAGTGACAATCCAGGCAGCCCCTCAAGGTCCCTATGCCAGGAGCTGTCACTCCTGTCTGGAGAAGGCACCAGCCTACAAGCCTTGTCTTCCTCCTCTCCCAGCTCTCCTTCCTAAAATAAGAGGAAAAAACCCCTTAGTAAGCAGGAGGAGTGTTGACTTCAGCACCTCTGTCAGCACTTCCCTGCTCACCTCGTGCTGGGGGAGAGTCCAGGTGCCTGGAGAGCACCTGGAGTGCTGTTACCGGAGGCTTTGCAGGAATGTCCTCCCTGTTTTCCCTTCTTAAGTGGGAATGCGTCAGGACAGGGCCCACCTGGGGCCTGGTGGCTTTTGGGGAGCACCTGCAGGAAAGGCATGTCCCACTTTTAGCTCTAAGGGAGGCACACGGGGACGGTGCCAGCACGGAATCCTGGAATATCCTGAGCTGGAAGGGATCAGTGAGTCCAACCCCTGGCCCTGCACCAGGACACCCCCCCCCCAAGTCCTGTGATGCCACAGCTGGGGCAGAGGGGTTGGGGTCTCACAGGCACAAAATTCCTGTGAGTTTTGGGGGAAGGCTGGGCCATGGTGGGAGCCCAGGGGATGGATGTGCTCGGCAGCAGGGAGGGAGCCGCTCTTCCCTCGTGTGGGTGGTGGGTCGGGCCCTGGGCTGCCAGACTGGCTCTGTGTGGGCACTGCCGGTGCCCAGCAGCCCTGGGACGTGGAGCCATGATCCCTGTTCTCTGCCAGTGCGCCGGAACATGCTGGATTTCCCCCAGCACGTGTCCCCCTGCAAGGCCATCCGCGCCGCCAGCACCGAGGCCGACAAGAAGCTCTCGGAGTTCGACGTGGAGATGAGCATGAGGCAGGACGTGTACCAGAGGATTGTCTGGCTCCAGGTGTGTTCCCTGCCAGGGCTGTGCCTCAGCAGGGCACCGAGACCTCCCGGGGTCCCAGCAAAGCCTTTCCCCTCGTCCCAGAGCTGAGTCAGGTCTGGAATGGGATCGCGGTGTGAGCGCGGCAGAGGGATCCAGCTGTTTGTGAGAGCTGGAAAATTGAGAGCTGAGGGCTCTGCCCCCCTCTCGGGGCCTTGATCACCCCTTTGCTGAGGTGGTGTTGGTAAGCCCAGCCCAGCTGAGGTGGGGAGGGGGCTGGTGATGCCCCAGGGAACGCTGGGGTACAGCAGAAAAGTGATGGATTTCAAGCAGTCTGGTGGGAACCAGTGCACCAGAGTGACATGGGAACCAGTGCACCAAACCCATCCCTGGGGGTGTTCCCATAAGCCACAGCTCCCACCAGGAAGCAGCTCCCTGCAGCACCTGGTCCTGCAGCTCCCCGAGCTCACGGTGTTGTTTTCCAGGAGAAAGCAGAAAGTGCTTCCCTGAAACCTGAGGCAAAGAGGTACCTGGAGAGGCTGATCAAGCTGGGAAAGAGGAACGGGCTCCATCTCCCCGAGGAGACACAGGAGGTGAGCTCACCGAATTCCAGGGTGGTTTGGGTTGGAAGGAAGCTCATCCCATCCCACCCCCTGCCATGGGCAGGGACACCTTCCACTATCCCAGGTTGCTCCAAGCCCTGTCCAGCCTGGGCTTGGAAGTAGCACCTGGTTCCCACAGGCAAAGGGCTGAAGGGAGGGGATTGAGCTGCTCAGGGTCTCCCTCTCTTACCACGCACCAGTGAAGGAGCTCAAATCTGGGTTAAAAATAGACGAGAAGGTGAAAAATAAGGGTAGAGGAGGTTGTTGCTGAAACACCTGCAGCTCCTGAGCTGGCAGGGGACGGGCAGGGCCTTGCTGAGCTGGCTGGTTCCCAGCAGGTGTGATCCCAGGGAGCCTGTTCCAGCCTGGGAGTGTGGTGCTGGCACACAGTTAATTGTGCAGCGTTGGAGCTGAGTCAGAGCCAAGTGCAGACTTGCTGCTGGGCAGCTCAGCAGGGCACAGCCTGGCTTCCCCCCCCCGGCACTGACTCTGCTCTGTTTATCTGCATTTTAAAGAAAATCAAAGCTATTAAGAAAAAGCTGAGTGTCCTGTGCATAGACTTCAACAAGAACCTCAATGAAGACACCACCTTCCTGCCCTTCTCCAAGGAGGAATTAGGTATGGAGAGCTCAGCTGAGCTCTGTGCTGGTGTGGCCATGATTTCTGGTTCCTTCTTCCTGTGCCCCTTCCCAGAGCTGATATTCCTGGAGGATCCTGGGCTCTCCCTCAGCCCTGTCTGCTCTTTTCCCAGGGGGGCTCCCTGAGGATTTCCTGAACTCCCTGGAGAAGACGGAGGATGGGAAGCTGAAGGTCACCTTGAAATACCCACATTACTTCCCTCTGCTGAAGAAGTGCTATGTGCCCGAGACGAGGAGGAAGGTGGAGGAGATGTTCAACTCCAGGTGCAAAGAGGTAGGTGGGACAGATGGGATGCCAGGGGGGATCTCACCTGGGACTTGTGCTTCTTCCCTCGGGAGAGCTCCTGCTTCCTTTCTCACCTGGATGCCCCTCTCCCCTCTGTGTCTGCCCTGCAGGAGAACTGCCTGATCCTGAAGGAGCTGGTGGATTTACGGGCTCAGAAGGCCAATCTGCTGGGCTTCAGCACCCACGCGGACTTTGTGCTGGAGATGAACATGGCCAAGAGCAGCACGACGGTGGCCACGTTCCTGGGTGCGTCCTGGGGCAGAGCAGGGGCATCCCGGGCCGGGCGTGCTCCTCTGACCACGGGTGCCAACCCTGCCTGCTGTGCTTCTCCCAGATGAGCTGGCCCAGAAGCTGAAGCCCCTCGGGGAGAAGGAGCGGGCCGTGATCCTGGACCTGAAGAAGAAGGAGTGCGAGAAGCGCGGGCTGGAGTTTGACAACCGCATCAACGCCTGGGACATGCGCTACTACATGAACCAGGTGGAGGAGACCAAGTACAGCGTGGACCAGAACCTGCTGAAGGAGTATTTCCCCATGCAGGTGGTCACCACGGGCCTCCTGGCCATCTACCAGGAGCTGCTGGGGCTCACCTTCCACCTGGAGGAGAAGGCGCCGGTGTGGCACGAGGACGTGCAGCTCTACACGGTGAAGGACACGTCCTCCGGAGAGACCATCGGGAAGTTCTACCTGGACCTGTACCCACGGTGAGGCCTCGGGTGAGGAGGAGCAGGGAGCAGGGCTGGGCTGGGGAGCAAAGCCCGAGGAGGAGCAGGGGTCAGAGCTGGGCTGGGGAGCAGAGCCCGAGGAGGAGCAGGGAGCAGGGCTGGGCTGGGGAGCAGAGCCTGAGGAGGAGCAGGGTCCTGCTCCTGTGCTCGGGAAGGGCCGTGCCAGGAGCACAGGAGGGGTCTCCGGGGCTCCTGCTCCAGGCGAGACCGTGGTGGGGGAGGCTGTGGCTGTGTCTGGCCGTGGGGAGGATCCCTGTGAGTATCCTCTGCCTGTGCCAGGGAAGGGAAGTACGGGCACGCTGCCTGCTTCGGCCTGCAGCCGGGCTGCCTGCTGCCGGACTCCAGCCGGCAGATCTCGGTGGCCGCCATGGTGGCCAACTTCACCAAGCCCACGCCGGACGCCCCTTCCCTGCTGCAGCACGACGAGGTGGAGACGTACTTCCACGAATTCGGGCACGTCATGCACCAGCTGTGCTCCCAGGTGAGGCCTCCCTGCGCTGGCACAGGTTGGCACCTTTCCCCTGTCCCGCTCTCCCCCGTCTCTGAGCTCGCCGTGTCTCCCAGGCCGAGTTTGCCATGTTCAGCGGGACACACGTGGAGAGGGACTTCGTGGAGGCCCCGTCCCAGATGTTGGAGAACTGGGTGTGGGAGAAGGAGCCGCTGCTGCGCATGTCCAGGCACTACAAAACAGGGAGCCCCATCCCGGATGAGCTGCTGGAGAAGCTCATTAAATCCCGGCAGGCAAACACGGGTGGGTCCCTGCCGAGGGGGCTGGTGTTCCCTGGGCATGGGGAGGGCAAGGGGACGTTTTGTGACCTGGCTGGGTGGAGGAAAGGCTTTGCCTGGCTCCCTGTGGTGCTGGAGGGTCCAAGGGGACTGGAGGAAGGAGCCACACCTGCCTGGTGTTCATCTGGGAAGAGCGAGGGTGGCATGGCACGACGTGGGCTGGGAGGTGGCACAGTGAGGAGAGGTGCCAGGCCCCCAGCCTGCCCTGCTGCCACTGGACTCGGTGACACTCCTGCAGGCAGGATTCTGGCCCTGCCTGCCAGCAGGAGCTCAGTTTGCCTCCTCCTCCTCCTCCTTTTGGGAACAGGGCTCTTCAACCTGCGCCAGATCGTCCTGGCCAAGGTGGACCAGGCGCTGCACACCCAGACCAAGGCCGACCCCGTGGAGGTGTTTGCCCGGCTGTGTGAAGAGGTGCTGGGTGTCCCTGCTACCCCAGGTACGGGTGTCCCACCCTCCTGTCCCTCTAGGCCTGGCCTGCACCCTTGGCTCAGCAGGCTCTTCCCGGGCTGGCTCAGAGGGGACACTTTGTGCTGGCTCCAGGAAAAGTGGGGTTGAACCACGCAGAAAGGGCTGGGAAGTCCTTCCCTGTGTCCTCTGGGATTGTCACCAGCTGAGGCAGTGCCTGCTGTGACACAGTGACAGCGGGGGGGGGTGGTTTCCACGCTGTGAGTTCCCCTTAACCCCCTTCCCTTCCCCGCCCCACAGGGACGAACATGCCGGCCACCTTCGGCCACCTGGCCGGGGGCTACGACGCGCAGTACTACGGCTACCTCTGGAGCGAGGTGTTCTCCATGGACATGTTCCACACCCGCTTCAAGCAGGAGGGCATCATGAACTGCAAGGTAGGGAGAGCCCCCTGAGGGCACCATGAACTGCAAGGTAGGGAG